AATGAAGCATTGGGGGTTCCCAGAAGTCGGGGGTTCCATGAGTGTCTGACTGGCTCAGGCCATGATCATGTGGTTTCGTGTGAACACTAATGTGACAGCACTGGAGCTGCTGTCCTTTTGAGCCTGCTTCAAAAGAATCTGTCTTTTACTCTCTCCCCTCAAACCTTTTCTCTCTCTCCATTAAACATTGGCCTAAATTGTTATTCTTACTCATAACTTTGACACAGAATCAAGCAATTTAAAATTTCTAAATTAGGGATACCCAGCTGGCTCGATCGAAGTACATACTTGACTCTTGTTGGAGTTGTAAGTTCGGCCCATTGGGTGGCAGAGATTACTCCAGAAATAAACTTTTAAAATAATTTAAAATTAAAAAATCCTACTCCTCATAAAGTTTGTCAAATTCACAGCCTATGAAAGAGTTGATTAAATGCTTGGAGATCTGAATCAAAGTATCATAGTGGTCTTGACTTTCACTTATCCCGCGTGTGACATAAAATAGTATCAACTTTGAACACAGGAACGCTACAAAACTTTTGTGCTTTTTGTACTCTCCAACACCCTGTTTACTGTCTGTATAATAGGAGAATTCTACTGGAGGAATGAATTCAACAAACGTGAAAACTTATTTCCTGACCCAAATAATAATTTACCTATCAAAACCAGGAAAATAATGAAGTAAGTCTAATTACAAAATGTGGCACAAAGTAGTCTCTCAATAAATTATTATTGTGTAAAAGGGAAAAGCCTGGGCTCCGATGCGGTTAGTCCAACTTCAGTTCAGGCCTTGTTGATCTACATGGTCCATTGAGTTTAGCAGCATTCCGGGCTCTGGGCTGATAACAAGAGCCTGGAGCCTACTTCCGATTCACCTTAATCTCCCTCTCTCTCTGCCTTCCCCGTTCATGCTCTGTCTCTCTTCTCTGTCTCAAAATAAATAAAACGTTAAAAAAATTTTTAAAAAGAAAATAAATTATAATTGTGGAAAATAATTGCACAAAAAGAGTCACATACTAAAATACAACTACTAACACTGGTGAGGATTCTAATTATACCTTAGGTTCTTAAATTTTTTTTTCTTTATGAATGACTGGACAAGTTTTCAAAACACCTAAAAATCTAACAAAAATATAACTGGCTAACTTCTCTGGTTATATATTCTTAATTCCAACATCACATACTTCATTAAACTTAGTTTCATCATTAAAGTTACATTAATAAACATATATTTCATTTCTTTCTTTCTT